GGCGACTTATGAGTGTCTGAGCAGGCAGCTCCTGAAAGGTAGCTGAGAAGGTCGAAGTTCCCAGCCCTGCTTTTTCTGTACCTACTTCCCCATAGACTTATGGAGTTGTATCAAGTGAAGTCTTTTAATAGATCCTTTTGCTTGGCAGGAATCTAATCCAAAAATAGAAAATTTTAATCTTCCTACATTTTTATTGCATTCATAAGCCACTGTAATTATCCCAATATCATATTTAATAAAGGGTTCTCCATCCAAGGACTTCAAACTATATTTAACAATTAAGATGGCCTCACGTCCCAGTGAGGAAGTCAACGAGCTCGTACACAGAGGGAAGCTAAAGCACAAAGCCATAGAAAACTTTGCCAGGATTGGAACAGAAACTCTGTGGCACAGCCAGGAACAGGCTTCCTGACTCCCAGCCCTATGTCTCAACCATAATAAATCCCTTCCTGTACAGACACACGCTCAAAGAGAAACTCCAGTAAATAGAATAAAAATGCTAAAACCCATGAAAATGATTGGATAAATAATAACACTTAGGGCAATGAAAATATCCTCCTGCCAGGGTTTGTCTTCACTGCAACAAGTAGCACAAGTTCCTTTGCATAAGCTTGCTTAATTGCAGTGAGAACAAATGCCTGTACCATGATACAGTCGTGCCTCTAAAAGCAGTAACATTAGTTATAGAATGCTGGGAGTTACATATAGTGTTTTGTGCATCTGACAACCTTCATTTAACAGTGCATACTCTGGCTTTGGAAGCACTCTAAGAACTTATTACAATGTTATTAATGTTGAAGTTTTTTTTTTTCCTCTAAAGTAAATAGGAGCTTTTAGTAGTAGCATCAGCGCCAGACTAAGTGCGGTACACAAGGCAAGTTCAAAATTCATTTCACCTTTGACTACAACTTCTGTTTGATTCCAGCACTGAAGACTAGCGTAACACCAGAGGAACACACAACACCGGCCAAAACAACTCCAAAGGCTTGGAAAGCCTTCAAATACTTGTTTTATTTCAGTGAAATATTTCTTTACCACTCAGCTTGGACTTCTGAATTTAAGGGATTCTGCCCCTGTGTCCAAAATGAGAGCAAGTATCCAACTCTATGGGACCTAGGGGTAGGAGGAAGCAGCAGCTGTTGGTGGCAGTGTCCTACAGCTACTCTACTGGCACACTCTGCTAGGGTTATAAGGACTTTTCCTTCTGACCCCCTGTTGAACGCTGGGGTAGGTTTGCTGCACAAATCCAAGATCGCTTAAGGGTGTAAAGAGTCCTAGATAATCTAAACTCGGGTATCTAAACTCATATAAGCAGAGTTAAGTGGTAACCGACTGAAGGAGTGTAAAAACCTGTTCGCTGCTGAAGTGAGAGACGATTTCAAGCATCTCATCAGCTTTTAGCTTTAAGAAGCCCAGGCTTACTCTGCCTTCGATGCCTCTTCAAGAGCCACAGGAAGCCTGTTGATGGAAATGCAGTCTTTGCTCATCTAGCACTGGCAACAAATGACAGGTCCTAACTCATTCCCGTCTGATACAGAAAGGCAGACAGACTTACATATGCATCTCCCAGCAGTAGCAGCATCATTTCCTCTGGAGAAAAAAAAAACCCTCAGCATACAGGGCCCTCCCTGCAGCTGCTTCCTCCTGCCTACCCCTCTCCCCATCCCAAAGGAAAATTTGCCCATGGTGAAGGGAGCATAAGCAAGGTCATTACCACATCAATTCTTCCTCCATAGTAACTGATAACCTTTTTTTTAATCTTTTAAAGCGTTGGGGCTTACTGAAGGCTTTTCCAAATCTGACGGCACAAGAGCCCAACATCTTGAAACGTGATCCAACGAAAGGAAAGCGCACGATGAAGTTTCCTCCCCGCTCGCGCTGGAGCCTGGCTAGAAGGGAGGCTGCTCTCGACTCCCGCGGCTCACGGTGCACTAATGCAGGTTCTTCAGCTTGGAGAACCTCACACAAATTAAAACACTGCTTGATAACCATCAGCCACGTCTAAATTAAGAAAACGGGTATGCAATTCACCTTTGCCACTCACACTTTTACACTAAAATGACTCAGACTGCCCGCTCAGTCATATACCTCCTCACCGAAACATGATACGAAGTAAAAACCTGACAATTCGGGGTTTTCAAATTTTATTCTGCAGGTGGAGAAACCCTGCACCTGAATGCTATTTCTGGAAGTAAACAAATATCACTTAGTTCTTCAATAGTGCAAAGTGCAGGTACTGTTCTGGACCAAAACGTGCAGGGGCAAGAGAAAGTCCCAAGGACAACAGAAGCATATACCCAAGCCCCTAAAATACAGCTCTGTAGTGCCCATGTTCATAACAGGAGCAACAACAAGGGCCACAGCAAGGCAGGGGCTCTGACGGATGAACTGAAGGCTGAGGATGCACCTTTACGATCGCTCTAAAGCACATTTACTGTGGTAAAATGGACAGTGCCCCTGGTCAGACATCCCCATCCTGTCTCTGTACACTCACACCTTCGCCCAAATGGAAAATCAAGTTCTAACAAATAAGAGAGACATACTCATTTCCATTAGTTTCTCTGTCTAAACGTGAATTATTGCTTGAGGTTTTGACATGTGACGTCAGATTTCTGTACTTCAGGGATTTTCATTCCAGTAACTGAGCCTGCCCCACACAGTTTTCCTGTGCAAACGAAGCCAGCAAAGGAAAACCGAGCTCAGAGCTTCCACGGCCTGATGCAGAACTCGGGGATCCTTGCAGGAAAACTCCCCTTTCACCGTGCAAGGCTGCCGGGAATAGAAACAAAATTTTAACCACGTGTGATGACTGCTTTTCTGAGGAAAGCCAGGTAAGGCAGCTTTACTTGCTACGGTGCAAGTTAAGTTGGACACACAAGAGACTCTGCCAAGCTCACATTTTCATTTCTTGCTGACTTAGAAGTGGAAAATGCACTATGCTTTACAATTAAGTATGAATTTCAAAAATAGTCAAAAAGGTTTCTTGTGGTTATAACCTATTGAAGTGAAACTGCTTAATTTCACCTCAAAATCATGGTGAAAATGTTTCATAGAAGAAACTTACCAAGAAAACTTGAAATAAAATAAGCAAGACCCATTTTTGCATGTTTCTGAATTTTGCCTGACATACATTAAGAAACTACGCCAAAACCCTGTGAAGTGCTATTATTTACTCTCCTTTACAGCAGACTAGAAAGATTTTGCCCAGAGCCTTGCTTAAGTACAAATGATTAAAATCTAGTTCAAAAGAACCATGCCACCCAGCCAGATATAAAGACATTTGTTATTCTAAGACTTAGAAATAGACTGGTTTTGATGCCAGAAGTGAGTCTATCCAAGCTGTTGTTAAATAAATGAGTCTGTCTAAACTGAGATTTATCTCATATCTGCCCCTAAAGGCAATAAGAGCTGCTTTTTTTATATTTACTTAACAATTTAATTAGTTACAACATGTTTTCGTTTCATTAATCAGTGACTAATGGGAGTATTTTGTGCATGTGCGATAACTGGCCCCTTTAAATTATCAGAAATAATTGCATAGCACGGTATTTATTTTGGTATATTAATTCTGTGCTTACATATATTGAAGAAAATGCTTTCTGTACCACAAAATTTAAAAAAAATTGAAGCTTTTTTCTTTGTAAAAAACCCCATCTTTCTGATTAGAAATAGAGCTTGGGATATGCTTTCTAATACGGAACAAGTTAAAAATTTCTCCTTCCACTGTAAAAAACATCTCAGTCCTGGGAATATCCAAGAGCAACCCACAGGTTCATAATTTTTATGCCTCTCTTTTCCAGTAATTATTTGGTGAAATTATTTAATTACCTACCGATGTTATTTTGTCCCTCCTGCGGTTTGTACTGGTGTATTGAGGGAATCAAGATAGAACCACTCAGCTGATTTCTGGTGATTAACATGATATCTGGTGATTAACGTGTTAACATAAGATATCTATCAAAAACGTTAGTTCAATCCTACATAAAACATAAAATCCCACAATTACTACTATCTCCAAAGAAAAACAGGAACTTTAATGCGCGAGAGTTACTCAGACACTGAAAAGTCTCCTCGTAACTGAAGAAAAAGATTCTGCGATGGAGCTTTGGGACTCCAGCAACATTGACAAAGGACCTTTCAGGGAGTACGGAAAGAGTTAACAGGAGGCTGCCGCTGCAGCAGCAGCACTCTGCTGGTGACCATTTGCACGCCTGCAAGGTACAGTCCCAGCAGACACATTATCAGATTAGGGGAAGGCAAACAAACTGAATTGAAACCATTCTTCAGGGAGTCCAACCTCTTCTTCCTGTGATGTCATGCTACAAATTGCCTGAGCTTTTTTCTCTCCTCTCCAGAAGGAGCCGGGCTGGCGAGAGGCACGGCGGGCGCAGGACGCGAGGGCCGTGCTCTGCAGGAACAAACACGCTCTGGAATTTCGTTTCTGCCCTCGCAAGCAGCTTGCTTCCCACCTCGTGGAGCGAGCGAGCGAGCAAGCCCTCGGAGGAGCAGAAAAGCTCGTTTTACAGAAAGAAGGCTGAGGGAGAAATGCAAGTGCCGACGCTTTGCGGCACCCAGGAAAAGGTTTTCTAAAGCATACGTTCCCAGTCAGTTTGGATGGACAAGACTTCACCATCATGATCTGCAGCCAAGAATAAGGCAGAAAGTTCTACAACAGCTTCATCAAAACAAGGGGGAAAATGGAACTAAGCAAGCTTTGGGATGACCTCATCTGCCACAAATGATACATTTTTTGACTTTCGAAGGCTGGCTATATGATTACAAATAGCACTTGGAAGAGAAAAGTGATCTCCTGGTGATTACTGCTGGAGATGTATTCCCCTGCTACAGAGCTTGTGTTTCCTCTCTGAAGCTTTACAGTGCAAACTTACCAAAGCACACAGTTCAAATACATCTGCAAGTTCTTCTGGAATTTAAAAAAGGTTGCAATAAAAATACCAGAGAAACCTCCAAATCACAGGAATTTAAAATATACCATTATAATGGTAAGTTCTAATTGTTCCACTGAGGACTCCTTTAAATATACTTTATATGGGTGTATCTTTAGTATGGTGTTTGTTCTTGGCCTCATAGCAAACTGTGTTGCTATCCACATTTTCACTTGTACATTAAAAGTGCAAAATGAGACTACAACTTACATGCTTAATTTAGCAATATCAGATCTGCTTTTTGTGTTTACGTTACCCTTCAGGATTTATTACTTTGTAGCAAGAAACTGGCCATTTGGAGACATTCTTTGCAAGATTTCTGTCACCCTCTTTTATACAAATATGTATGGGAGCATTTTATTTCTGACTTGCATAAGTGTAGATCGCTTTTTAGCTATAGTACACCCTTTTCGATCTAAGACTCTCCGAACCAAAAGGAATGCAAAAATTGTCTGCGCTGCAGTATGGATAACCGTGTTAGCAGGCAGCACACCAGCAAGCTTTTTCCAGTCTACAAACCGCCGTAATAACACTGAACAAAGAACGTGTTTTGAAAACTTTTCAGAGGACACATGGAAAACCTACCTATCCCGGATTGTTATCTTCATTGAAATAGTTGGGTTTTTTATTCCACTCATCTTGAACGTGACCTGCTCTACTATGGTCTTACGGACTTTGAATAAACCGCTTACGTTAAGTCGGAATAAATTAAGCAAGAAAAAAGTACTCAAAATGATTTTTGTCCATTTGGTGATATTCTGCTTCTGCTTTGTGCCTTATAATGTTACCTTAATACTTTATTCCCTTATGAGAACACAGACCTGGATTAATTGTTCAGTGGTAACTGCAGTCAGGACTATGTACCCTGTCACTCTGTGCATCGCCGTTTCAAACTGCTGTTTTGACCCTATCGTCTATTACTTTACATCGGATACAATTCAAAATTCGATAAAAAAGAACCGGTCCACTAGACCACGGGACATCAGATTCTCCGAAAGGCCAGTTTCAGAAAACTTCATTCAACACAGCCTTCAGACCATAAAAATGAAAATATTTGACAGTGACTCTACAATATAAACTGTATTAAAAGACCACTGGGACTAAACTGGAATTAGAAGCCTGCACATTTCTTCAGCTGTGGAAATATATTCTGATATGTAAATGTTACACTTCCTTCACATCAGAAAAGTTTACGATAAGACTGTAAAAGTGTTTAGCATAATAGTACACAGAAAAAGTATTTTAAGAATTTATGTCAAATGTCTGTTCTGACAGAAACAAACTTTTGGTTTCGGATTAGGTTAACCAAAGTCCAAAGACTGTCTGTCAAGTCAAAAACAAATGAAAAAGTGGGTGCTTTTTTCCTGAGGTTAAAAACAATTGCTCATTTTTAATAACAATATAGGTTTCCAAGTTACTGAGGACGGGGGTGAAACTACCTGGTTTACACTGCAGGATCCAGTTGCTGAGGAAAACAGCACCACACTGATCATACCACTTCGGCTACTTTGCCTGCTCCGGAGTTTCCTCTTCTCTATCTTACTCCTCCCTCCTGTCTTTCTCCCTGCACCTTCCTTCTTAGGGACCATTACATTCACAGGAGACTTCGATCAATGGGCTATAAGAACTTTGCTTCTCCCAGGTTTATCTGATAAAATATACGCTCTTTCCCCAAGCCTGGCCCCCATAAAGCAATTAAATCTTCTGGTAGTTTAGGGCATCTGGAAACAACTCAGACAAACTGGTTTTTCTTCTCACCTCTGTCTCAGATGTCTGTGTAATTATAACAAAAAACCTCTGATGACTGAAGTTAGTGCTTTAGGTACAGTACCACTTTATTAAACTCTTTTGTGAGAAGTTCTTCAACTCAACATGACTTTTGAGCAAAATAACGTGCTCCAAATAAGGTAATTCAATCTCCAAGTAGTAGTTTCTTAGAAAAACATGACCTTTGCTAACCAGAAATGAGCATGTGCACCAACCCAAATATTTCTTCTAGGAAACTATTTGGTGTCCCATAAAGAAATTCAAGACACAGTAATTTTTAGAGTGAAACTTCCTCGCAATCTTTGTGTCCCAGATATATTTTTAATATGAGCATTTAAAATTTCAAATGCTATTTTCTTGCAAACTTTATAAAGTATAAAAATAAATTACTTGGGGCTACATGCTGGCAAAATTAATCGAGACACTTCGAAAAGTCAAAGCCATGTAAAAGGAGAAATCTATATATATTACTGTTACAAACAGGAATACATAGACAAGAGTGCTTTAAAACGTCCTGCTATGTATGTTTCCCAGCTATTAGAACATTGTGTACATTCTTCTCAAAATTAATTTATCATCGCTGTAAAATTAAATAAATATTTTAAAGCTAGAAGTAAGTAGTAAGTGTTGGTTTTTCCTCTCCAAAAAGAATGGAGTCAGAATAAGACCTGAGTTAAAATGAATTTGCACTTTAGATTTAGGGCAGTCAGTTGCAACACATATATAGCACTGAGGCATTTTTACTTCAGGGCAGTATACGGAAGCACGAATCAATGTTGGAGAAAATGCATATTGAGCTGTCAGTACATGATATGTTATCTGCTTGAGTTTACTTCCCTTTGTGAAGCTTTTGCTTAATTGTTATAAATCAACTGTACATTGCCTACTACTACTGGAAAACTGAGTTAGTCAAAGACTGCTAGAAACTAATGCCAATTGAATTTTAAATTTAACAGCATTTTAAATATTTATCCACACAACTTATGAGCTTAAGCTACAAAGACAGCATAGATATAAATGTCTGCATAATATCTGAAAATAGGCAGTTATCTTAGTTGGGAATCCTAAACCTTTCTGATTCATATCTGACTTCAGAAAAATACACAAAACCCCCAGCATGAGTAGAAATTTTGTAAGTTTTCCATATGCCACTGACAAATTCAAAGTTCAAAGCCAGATATGCATCTCTAATGTCTCAATGCATCTCTCTTTAAAGAGCCTGTTTAATATTAGACTCCCTCCAAAGACTTTGAGACTAAAGCCCTTAATGTCACTGCTGGGCTATGTTTCTAGGCTACTACTCTCCCCGAGCTTGGCAAAGCTGTTACTTGGTTGAGTGACAACTCATTCAGCAATGCCTCTGCATTACAGCAGCGAACACCCCGGAGCCTCACCCTGGTAAAGAGAAGCTGCTCTTTCTGAGATTACGAAACTGCAGAAAAAAAGAAAAAAAAGAAAAAAATCACTGACTTAAAAGCAGAACAAGCAGATAAAGTCGCATGTATGGGTACTCCCCTTTAAACCAGACTTTCCTTGGTGTATTAGCTTGAAGAGCCTGGGGAAGCATGAAGAGTAGCTCTTTCTGCCTTGCACTCACTCTCCAGGGCAGTAGCTTCTGCTTTTTGCGAAAGCATAGTGCAAGACAGTACAATAGCTTTCCAACCAGTTAACAGCTTGGTATCTCGGAACTACTTGAGGAAGCTTTATATTTTTTACTATTAAACATACTTCACT